CAGAGAACAACACAACCCTATCTTCAATAAAATGTATGTTATCCCTTATGGCCTTATAGATATAGAATCTAAATTTCTCAAAATCCATACCTCTACAAACAATTTTGTCTCCCTCCCACAAAAATTCTTTCAGACTAGTAGTCACAAACAATAATAATAAAGCATGGATGTAAAACTGAAGCATTAGAAGAGAGATTGCAATGCAAACAGGATAATCATGCACCTTTCTTTCAAGAGCTGCTACTCTTTGATGATACTCTTCTCGCAGGGATTCAATATCTACCTCACTGGTTTTTCTCTGAAAATTAGATTAGAGAAACTTCATCAGATCTTAGATAAAAACAGTAGAAAAACTGCAATAGCTCCTTCACTCTACCATACACAGAAACTTCAATTAATTACTGGGATCTCAACACCATTAATCAAATGGAAGCAGTCTTAAAAGACTTTTGGCATTAAAAAAATGCTAAGGTGAGACAGACACAAATCTGCCTAGAAGTCACCAATTCACCATTATTTGGGACAATAGATATAAAATAAAAATGTCAATGCTCAACAGAGAAATACATTTTTTTTATTTAAAAAAAAAAAAAAAAAAAAAAAAAAAAAAAAAAAAACTACATTTAACAAGCAGGTGTGTATATCACTTCACTGTAGCAATAAACATTAAATAGAAGTTGTAGCCATGTTCACCGAAAAGTCTACCAAAAAAGAGATGAAAAATATACTCACTCTTAGATCCTCAATTACAACCTTTAGCTGCTCATTCTCATTCATCAGGTTTGCAATTTCATCAGCCTTTGCCTATAAAGGATGAGTAATAGTTAGCATAACAATTAGCATGATTGACTTTTTAACATGTATACATTGTTATAGCAAATAAGCATGATGTACTGCAACTTGACTTCAGTGATAAACCAACATAGCATTTATCACTAAAGGAAATTTTAATAAACTTTGGTAGGTGAATTCAGAATTATGGGCTTTTGTTCACCATAGTACCTGCAGGTGATATATTCATGCACGGATGCACCTATGAAATTAAAATCCAATTGCAGGTGATAGACTTGTATCTAAATGCCCTATAAATTATCAAGGTCCAGAGACTTGGTAACCTATCTGACCAATTCTTGGCAACGGGGAAATTTAGGCAAACATATTATAGGTGAAAAAAAATATGAAAATAACAGGATTACAGAAAACACTTTTATATATCCAATTACAAAGGGGAAAATTACCTTAAGACTTTTTATAAAGTTCCAGTTACCAGTGTCAGTCCCAGATTTATTCAATGTGTCTTTAACATTTAACAATGGCAATGAATGAAAACCCACAGCTCAGTACATTGGGTGCACAAAATCACTCCATGGAATGCATACACAAAATTACCTGTGCTTGTCTAGCAGCTCCTTGTAGTGCCGTTTCCATCATTTTCATCTCCTTTTTCACTTTTTCCAGTTCAGTCACCATACTGGAAACATCTGAAGAGTTGATCCCTGAACTCAACTGTTCTGTAATATCACCCACATTATCAATTGCTCGCTGATTGACCTTAACAGCTTGATCAATTGCATTAGTTGCATGTGAACTTGACTCAGATACCATCTTTGAAGTCTCTTCATCGTGTTGTACAACGGGCAAGTTGGTTTCAGAATGTTCCTCAGCAGATCCAGTTTCATTAGATGTAGCAGAGTCTGAAACAGAATGTCTTCCACTTTCAAAATGACTAGTTGGTTCATCTTGAACTTCAACTGGAGAAATTTCCTCTTTGTTCTCTTCCTTCTGTAACTCAGCTTCATCTGTGTTCTCCTGAGAATTAAAATGGGATTGATGAAGCATAGGGGTGCTAACTTCAGCTTGAGAGGCAGGACTAGTTGATTTAGTTTCCAATTCCTCCACATTTCCAAAAGACTCTTCTGTGAAAGTCTCTTTTTTCAGTGATTTAGAAGAATCTGTTTCCTCATCATGTTCAGGTTTGGTTTCAGACACTTCAGTTGGCAAATTGGGTTCAGTCTCTTTTTCATCTACAGCACTAATACTCTTTTGCTCTTCACTTTCAGATTTTGATTCCTCAGCAGAATCTTGTTTTGTTATGTCTTTATTAGCTTCTTCAGCAGATATAGCTGGTTCTAGCTTCGCATTTTCATTTCTTGCTTCTTCAGCAGATGTAACAGGCTCTGGTTTCAAATAAGTATCTCTTGCTTCTTCAGCAGAATTCTCTAGGTTCACATCAGCATTTCTTGCCACTTCATTATCTTCTTTGGCAGATGTAGTTATTTCATCAGTTTTTTGTGCTTCTTCATTGTTTTCTTTAGGGGCTTCAGATTTCTCTATTTCTGAATTAGCAGAATCATCCACAACCTTTTCCACAGTAGCAGGGAGAACCATTGAGGACTCGGTGCTTTCTATCGATTCAGTATCCTCCCCACCTTTATGTCCCATAAAAGCCATAACAGGGTCAAACAGTGCCTTCCTATCTGTGGCTGATGACCATACCCCTGATGCTGATAATTGGTAACCATGTGAAAAGATGACAGCAATAAATCCATCAAAAATAAACAAATTGAACTTCCCTCACTATAAAGTGTTCTCTTTTTTTTTTTTTTCATTAGTTTGATGGTGAATATAGCTAGATAGCAGAGAAAGCAATTTGCATTAGTAGAACTGATGATCTTCCAATGTATCAAGTTTTAATTTTCACAAACATCCTTAAGTATTCATTCTGGCATAGTACTTAACTAGATGCATATGCTGCAGGATGCTTTCATGCCTCGAAGATGAATGAATCGCATATATAAACATAAAAACATATACTCCGTAATTAACATGATCTCAGCTAGTAATCTGTAGCTACAGTGTAGTGACCGCACTCATTTCTAACTCTTAAGCAGATTCTATATTCAATAGACCAAAACATTAGCGATGCTTAGGGGACTATGAGGTACCTTCGCTACTACTGGCATCGGATTTCTCTTCGAGGCCGAGAGCGCTATCGAAGTTTTTCTCGATGTTCTTAACGCTCTCACTAAGTTTGTTCACGGCGCCAGCGAGATCCAAGTTGCCGAGAGAGACTCTCCCACTAAACCACGCCATCTCCTTCTCGATCAAACACTCGAATCACATCGCCAGCTCCGTCAGCCTGTCGGATTAAATGCAAATCAATACAAATCAATGAATTTGACGAGACAATAATCAATGCCAGTAGCTGAATTGATAGTTTTCGTTTTGAAACAATGGCTTCCGTAAGGATCCTGTAATTGCAATTATAGATCTTGCGGAAATATTTCGTGTTTTGAGAATGTAACCTTTGTATGAAGGATCTGGTTGTTGGCTGCGAAATCAAGGAAAAGCGGTTTTCGGTAGAAGCGTGAGGATGCCAATCTATCTTTCCCGGAACCGCGATGTCATAACACTCCGACGGTCATTGTGATTTTCTTTTTCTTTTCTTTTCTTTTCTTTTTCCCTTTTCGCGGAGTATAATTTGGAATAAAATGGACAATTGCAGATACCTCCCTGAAGGCTATACCAACTGCATACGAATCCTCTAAATTGAAGTTGCTTTTGTAATTCTTCATTCTTCACGTAATAATAATAATAATGCCTAAAATGGGTGGTATAGTGAGTAAAGTATGATTATTGTACTTCAATATTACGAGTTTGATATGATAAGAATAAGGTTCAAATTGATCACTGAACGAAATTTGAAAATGTAATTAAACTACATAACGAAAAAAAATACAATTAGACTATTGAATAACCTAAATGTATTCAATTTCACTTGATAACAGTTTATCATCCATTTTCATCATGATTCATGTTTACGTAGATTGTGAATTGACATTTTTCATAATTTTTAATAATAAATTTTTAAAATAAAAATTAAAAGGTAACAAAATAAATAAATAAAGTTGGAGTGGTCGGTGGCCACTTCTTTCTTCTCAGCCCCCCTCCTCCTTCATCTTCGGTTGGAACACTCTTCGTCTTCGTCTCTGGTTGGAGACGAAGAAAGGGGGAAAGGGGAGTGGCATGAGACAGGTCCTTCGTTTCACGCCACCCCCTTCCTCCTCCTTCGTCTCCACCAGATACAAAGGATGAGGGCGATGGGTGGTCGGTGGTCACTCTGGTGTTTTTATTTAAAAACAAATTGTCTCATCAATTCGGTTTGAGATTTTCTCAAAATGCATTTATTAAACAATTACAATTGATGGTGTTGAAATACTTGAATTGGGCATAGGCATGACATTAGGCAAAAGGAGCCATCCATGAATTATATTTATATTAAATTAACACACATAATTATGAAAAAAGATGCAAGCATATTAATTAATTTGATGATAATACAATTAGATTGAATACATATTTAATAGAAATCTTAATAGATACCTATTTGTGGGGGAAAAAAAAGTGAAAGTCAATGTATGTGTGTTTGGTCAAATTGAAAAATCAATAGACTAAAATGAGTAGTAGTTCAATAGTCAGATGATCATTTGTAGTATTAACTCATTATTATTATTTCAAAAAATTCACTCGACAATAAGTGGAATTGTTCATCTCAAGTGCCCTCTTATCTCGACCTAACAAAATTGTGAAGTGATAAATCATGATGACTTAACTAACCAACAAATGTTAAAATTTTGCTTACTAAGATGTTTAAGTGATCACAACTTCGCCAGATTAATTTTAAATTCAAAGGTGATGTGAAGGTAAATCGTGAGTTGCACAATCAGTCTATTGATTAAATCGTAATTTTGATGTACACACAATGGATGGAAAATTTATATCATCTTTAAACATTTTTCTCCTACATGTTTTCAGAGATTTAAATTTTTATATTATCATCAATTTAATCAATTTAATGATCTTTAAATCAGGCCACAAATCAACTACGCCCAGTGCACTGTTTATCAATTTCTGGTTTTATGGTTCCGTGGCCCGTGCTACGGAATACTAAAAGAGCATTAATCATCCCATCCAAAGAAGTTGCCAAATCCAAACACGAGCGTTATGCACGTGAGAGGCGAGACTAATGAAGGCCGGCAACGATTTAATAACATAATTCATATATTCTGAACAGTGGCAGTAACCACAAGCACCGCAAAATCACAATTGAAGTCCTCTCCGGATCTGGGACGAAGAAATGGAGAGTATTGGAGTGCTGATGGCGATTCCGATGAACCCTTACTTGGAACAGGAACTCGACAAGCGGTTCAAGCTCTTCCGCTTCTGGAACTTCCCGCAGAAGAAGGAATTCCTGAGGGAGAACGCCAACGCGATCCGCGCCGTCGTCGGAAACGCCTCCGCCGGGGCTGACGCCGAGCTGATTGATGCGCTCCCCAAGCTGGAGATAGTCTCTAGTTTCAGCGTCGGCTTGGATAAGATCGACTTGGCCAAGTGCAGGGAGAAGGGAATTCGGGTTACCAATACCCCCGACGTCTTGACGGAGGACGTCGCCGACTTGGCAATCGGGTTGATGCTGGCTGTGCTCAGAAGGATTTGCGAGTGTGATCGATTTGTGAGGACAGGGTTGTGGAAGATGGGTAACTTCAAGTTGACTACCAAGGTTCAATCGCTTCTTTTTATATTATTTTCTATAGACAAAGTACAAATATTGGATTTTTAGCTACAGAGAACAAAGCTGTGCTGGTTAAAATAATTTAATTTTGGTCCTCTCTGCTTTGTTTTCCCCTATATGCCTTCTAAGTGCTTGGTGAAATAATCTACATTCAGGACTAGAATTTTACAGAAAGAATGTTAGAGGCAATTATGTTCCCCATATGCCTTCTTAGTACTTGGTGAAATACTCTGAAATGACATTCATTCAAGACTATAAATCTACTGAAAGAATGCTAGAGGCAATTATGCTCTCAGCTTGAATATTGTTGTTTGAATTGTTGAAATGAAAGGGATTTGGCAGTCTTATTGAGTACTCATCAAAAACTAAATACAAATGGCATCGTTATTGAGTGAGTGGCAATTCTGTTGGCTGTTGATAAGTGTTTCTTGGTCTGTGGAACATCAATACATCATGGATGAGAATAGGTTGTCTGGTTGGTCAACTGAAACCTGTTTCCCTTTATTTGTAACTATAACTATTCTCTCTAACTTTGGTGGCATAAATGTTTGCATTAGTTCAATGTGGCTTTACACTGCTATCTGTGAACTGAATTTCAGCATTTTTCTTATCCCCCCCCCCCCCCCCCCCCCCCCCAAACAAAAAAAAATCTTCAAAGTAGCTAGAAGTTTGTTTAAAAGTATAGAGCTTGTCTTCCTTAAGGATGGATAGTTGGATACTCATTCTAACCTTATTTGTTGCCACCCTACTTTGCAGTTTAGTGGCAAAACTGTTGGAATTATAGGGCTTGGAAGAATTGGTTTAGCAATTGCCAAGAGAGCAGAGGCTTTTGATTGTCCAATCTGCTACCACACCAGATCAGAGAAACCAAACACCAAGTATAAGTACTACCCCAGTGTAGTAGAGTTGGCTTCCAATTGTCAGATTTTGGTTGTTGCGTGCGCATTAACTCCCGAGACTCGCCACATTGTCAACCGCGAAGTCATCGACGCACTAGGTCCACAAGGAGTTCTCATCAACATTGGTAGGGGTCCCCACGTTGATGAGCGCGAGATGGTATCTGCTCTTGTTGAAGGCCGCTTGGGTGGTGCTGGGCTCGACGTATTTGAAAATGAACCTGAAGTGCCTGAGGAGCTCTTTGGACTTGATAACGTTGTGCTGCTGCCCCATGTTGGAAGTGGAACAATGGAAACGCGCAAGGCCATGGCTGACCTTGTGATTGGAAACTTAGAAGCTCACTTTCTTAACAAACCACTATTAACCCCAGTGGTCTGAATTTGTTATGAACACACCCATGATTGTTTGGGGGCCTGCCTTTACTATCACCAGAGCACATTGCCTCTGAACTTGACAAACATGTAAAATGAATAAGTTCTCTCATTGAGAGCTGGTAGCTTCACTGATTTGAAATTGTTATGGACATCATATTCATGACTTTTGGTGCATCACTTTTCTATAGCCACTTTAGTCCACTTCACATTATTATTATTTTTTTTTAGTGAGGAGGAAAACTGTAGTCACTATCTAAACTGCTCATAACTGATTGATTCAAACCAATTGAACTTGTAAACTTGTGGCTACCAAGTTAACAATCTGATTCTGACCAGTTTAGCTGGAGTTGCCTCATCCACTTCACATTATTTGACTTGATTATTAGAGGGTTGTTTTTGCAGGTTGAACAAAGTGAGATAAAATTGCACAGGGAGTGTTATGGCTTGCAGGGCTGTAGTCCATTCAAAGTTCAAACACACCCTGGAAGCATCTTCAGCTATGGATTAGAGAGAACAAAAAACTAGCAGTAATTACACATCATCTATTACATGAATCTAGTCTGGGCGAGGCCAACCAGATCGGACTCTCATGGAGTCTAAATTACAATGAGCTGCCAACCAGTCTGCACTTGGGAGTTTGTAATGGCAGCAGATCAAGGAGAGGTTGGGGGAGAAGAAGACCCTTTGAAGATGAGGAAGTTGAGAGTCTCCAAGGTGAAGTAGATGAAAGTTCCTTTGGTATGAGTGAAGAAACAACTGAAGTGTGAGCCCACTACACATTGCCACCCGCCTCCATATTCCTTGTCAAACTCCTGCACATACATCATAATCAGGGTAAAAGATGAAGAAGCAGGAAGAAAGGGTTAAGGGCTACAAGGTTACAGCTTTTACCTTCTTGATGTGAGCAGCAATGGATTTGCAGTCCAGAACATCATAAAGATCCAGAGCTTGAGAAGCACAAGCCATGGCTTGAATCTGCATCTTCCCTGGCATGTCTGTATCTTCAACCAAAGCTTTTCCTTCCAACATCTTCTCTCTTCTGGTTCTTGCTTGTTACCCAGAAAGGAAGGTATCTCTCTTTTTCTTTTCTAGAAGTCAGAAAATGAGAATGATGGGTGTGGGATTGAGATTTTTAATAAGAAGCCCTCCTGACTTGACTCTTCCAAATGTGGTGGAGGGATTTGCTAATATCCTCAACTCCAAGGGTCTCTCATATCCCAATTCAATAGAACATATAAGACGTGATAAATTATAATAATTCAGTAATCTAGCAGATACAAAGAATCTGTCTACTTTTGAACATAATCTCTATACTATTGCTATTAAATTTTAAATTTTAATATTTTTTTTCAAATAATGTCGTCTATTGAATCATTGAATTAAGACTAGTGACAGAATTTGCTAATCTTGCCTACGTTGGCTGTTGCCACATAATTATCACTCCAAGTCTGTCTTTTGGACTAATTATATTACCCACCAGATAACTCTTCTCCCCACCTCAATGATACATCGGATAATGGATAAGGATGTCGGCCACCCAAGATGTATAATCTAGAGGCATAACAGGCTAAAATATTCACAACCCAACCTTCTTTTTTATCTTTTAATTATTTCTTTTCACAGAGAAATAAGTATATACATAATACAGTTCTTGACAGAAAAGAGTATTAAATATTTGTCCACTTATATTAGGCGTTTGGGTATCGGCACTTAGCCACTTACAGGATTGATTGCAGCTCTAAAAAACGTCATCCAATTTTCTATTTTTGGTCATCCCTATCGTCTTCATGAGTTGATAGAATACTGCAATCTTATCCTTTCCCAGTAATTTTAGTTTTTGAAATACACGCACCCTCATTTCTTTATTTTTTATTTTTAAATTACTAATTATAGTTTCGAGAATTAATAATATATATTTCCACCCAACGGAGTTAATTAAACAATTTACTTGATATTGTGATGTTTATAAAACACTTTTCACCTAAAGCACTGATTTACTTCCTTCTCAGGTATATAATGTATCAATCTATAAATGTTGAAATAAAAGATAAAGCAAAAAGTGCAAAAAGAGAAAAAGCAAATAAAATATTTATTTATTTTTATTATTCTAAATAAAATGAAAGGGAGTGTCCATGAAAACACGGGAAGGCTATGACGTGGTGACGTGACTGCTAGACGACAACACAAAATCCAAAAAGTAAGAAAATATCTCGCACAACGACGAAATAGGAAATTGGGCCGTTACATCATTGATTTCTCCCTGAGGCCCAAATGTACCACGGAATGAGCTAGCCCATTAGACAAGCATAGGCCTAGATAAACTTCAGCCTATCAGTTTGGTTTATGTTCTGTTATGGGCCAAGAGGAATCAGCCCAAAAATAACGTTCTCAAGCCCATTTATATTAGATAGTTATGACTATTATCTTCAATATATTGTATGAGAGTAGATTGATTAGTTTAATGATTGCAAAACCAATTAAGCTGATTGATATATTTTTCTAGCCAATTGAACTTTAGTTGGTCATTAAACCTAAGAGATTGGGTTATACTGGTCTATAAGAACAACCTTATTTGTAGAGGTTTTTACGTAATTTTGTCAGACCATATGTGAAAGGGGAGGAGATATATGAGAGAGAGAAAGAAAATAAACTTGACGGTGAGCTATGCCGCAACGGTGCTTCATTTGACTTTTTATTGAGATCCACAAAGAACTCATCCTTGTATGAGAGAAAAAAAAAAAAAAAAACTCCTTTTTTTATTTGTTTAAAAATTCTCATCTAATTTTTTGACGGACAAAAATCCAAATAAACTAGTGATTACTCTAATAAGATTATAACCCCACCAAAAAGTCTACATCATTGATCCATTTTACTTGATTCGATTTTGACATTCTAAAAATTATTTACAAATTAATTTCATATAGTGACGTATTAAATTCAAATAAAATAATAGGAATTTAACATGTGTCATATCTGTATAGTTGGATATGGGGCCATTTGTTGGCGGACATATCACTAAGTTCAATAATCCATTATGAGCCATGCCCCACGCTCGTTCTAGTCGTTCCACTACTTTGCTTTTCTTGTCCTTTTGCCTTTTTATTTTCATTTTCATTTTTAACTTTAGTTTCTTCCATTTAAAAAAAGAGTAAATACCCAAAATGGTCCCTCGACTATAGCTAAATTTACAAATTGGTCCTCAACTTTCAATTTCAACCAATTAAGTCCTTAACTTTGCAATTTTGACACGATTTGGTCCTCCATCTATTTGACCATTTGTTGACCGTGATCGACGATCTCCAGAAGAACCTTCAACTCTCGTCGGAGTACGTGGAGGCCTCCAGGATGACGTTGCACCGGTTCAGAAACACGTCGTCTTCTTCGCTCTGGTACAAACTCAACTACATTGAATCCAAAGGGAGGATGAAGAAAGGCGACCGGATTTGGTAGATTGCTTTCGACAGTGGATTCAAATGTAATAGTGCGGTCTGAAAATGCAACTGGAACCTTAAAAACCCGACGATGGACCATGAAATTACATATATATCCTCAAAAATCACAATCAACAAACGGTCAAATAGACAGAGGACCAAATTGTGTTAAAATTGAAAAAGTTAAGGACTTAATTGGTTGAAATTGAAAGTCGATGACCAATTTGTGAATTTAGTTATAATCGAGATACCATTTTGGATATTTACTCTAAAAAATATATATATAATTTCTTATTTTATCTAATTATATGATGAACTTATGAAGCCGTCTTAAATCCACGAAGATATCGATAACCCTTCAAACCTTTCACCAAAACAACAATAACAATAAAATAAAATAAAAAAGTAAACACATACATTCAAAACATGAAATGTTGAATAATGGAATTTAAATGAATTGTCGAAAAACACATAGAAATGACAAACATTAGTAGCTGTAAAAAATTGGAAGTTGGCAGGCATGCAATATAATAATAGGTTAAAGGTCCACCCATATGAGAGTGACACCCGGCTGCCGACACTCCCGAGCCCTCCTCCGATCTGTCACCGCATTTTACTTAATTCTCCAAACACTCCCTTAATTCCCTATAATGGCTTTTGTTCCTTCACTATCTCATAAACAAAAAAATTAATTTTTCTTCAACTCCAAATCTCCAATTCAACAACTGCAATGTTGCATACGAAATCGGAGTCAGATGTAACAAGCTTAGCAGCGTCGTCACCTTCCGGCCATGTTTACTATGTACAGAGCCCTTCCCGGGACTCTCATGACGACGGAGACGGCGAGAAGTCGACGTCGATGCAGCCAACTCCCACCTTCACCAGCCCCGTGGAGTCCCCCTCCCACCCTTCCCTCGGCCGCCATTCCCGGACTTCCTCCGGGACCCGCTTCTCCGGGATATTCAGGTCGTCGTCCGGGAGGAAAGGGAGAGGGAAGAGGATGATGAGTAACGACAAGGGGTGGCCGGAATGCAATGTGATTATGGAAGAAGGGAAGTACGATGAGTTGGAGGATAGTTGGCTGCTTTCTCGGAGGTTTCATGCGTTGTTGGCTCTCTGTGGATTTCTTCTTCTGTTCACCGTTTTTTGCCTCATCATTTGGGGTGCCGCCCGGCCTTACAAAGCTCAGGTTACTCTCAAGGTTAGTTTCATTATATTTGCCGTTAATTTTCAATTCTAGCTATCTTCATTATATTTTCCGACAACTAATTAACCACCGTACCTGCGACTAACTTAACGTACTTAATTGGCCGCAGAGCTTATCAGTGAGTAACATATATATTGGTGAGGGCTCTGACTTCACGGGTGTACCCACAAGGTTGTTGTCGGTGAATGGGTCACTGAGGATAAGCGTGTACAACCCTGCAACATTCTACGGCATCCATGTCAGCTCTACGCCCATCAATCTCGTCTTCTCCGACATCACTGTTGCCACTGGCCAGGTAACTGCTAACACATTCACCAATATACAAAATAATAATAAATACAGTTTTCTTAATAATTTCCTTGACACCCAAAAATAATAAATATATTAAGAGTGAAAGTGGAGAAGTTGATATGGTTTTAAGAATTGTTAGTTGAAGAAGTATTATCAGTCAAGGAAGAGTCGGCGAACGGTGTTGGTGAACATACAAGGAACTAAAGTCCCCTTGTACGGGGCAGGATCAAGTTTGCCAGCGACAAAAAACAAGGACGGCACAGGAGGTGTTCAAGTTCCGTTGGCGCTGGATTTTGAAGTGAAGTCTCAGGGAGACGTGGTGGGAAAATTAGTGAGGACGGATTACCGGAGGAAGATCTGGTGTGAGTTGATCATTGACTCCGCCGGCAATAAGCCAATCAAGTTCAAGAAAGATTCATGTGCTTACAGCTAGTTGTTCTCCATTAATTGATGATGCTTTTTTTTTTTTTTTTCCACTGGAAATGATATGATGTTTTAATTTGTGGGACATTTTGATATTCAGATTTTCATAGAAGTTGTTTGTTATAGAGGATGTTTAATTTTTGAGGTATCATTTCTTTTACGACAAATGAAAATTGTCATCACTATTTGAAAATGGGGTGTACACTTTGAGTATGATATAATAACCCAATCAATAATCAAACTTGTAATTATATGATACTAGAATTGTGTTTTACCTATTTAATCACTTGTTTGGAGGCATGCATTTCCCCAGTGATATAATAACACAATCAATAATTAGACTTACACTATGATCATTTGGTATAACGAGAGTTGTGCTTTATCCACTTACTGTGACATGTTTAACATTGTTAATCAAAGTGGTAAAGTGATATGATGAAGACACCAATGCTTACTTCTTTTCTTTAACAGGTCAAACTAAATAAAATTTTAAAAGAATAACAAAAATTAAAGTAATATATCTCGAAATTTTGAGTTCTACCACATGTAGTCTATATTTATACTTCATCACTTTCACTTTATACTGTGATAAAGAATAATAAATTATTTTCATCATGTGGATTGATCATTAAAAAAAATGTCAATATTACAAATTTGTGAAAAGAATAAAAATTGATAGTATAATTTGGAGTGAAACTAACATTTTTACTAACTACAAAGAAAATGTATCATATTTCTCCAAATTTTGTAGAGCAAAATGGACAAGTTTTCAAAGTTAGAAAAAAACGTTAAGATTGGTCTTTAAAAAAAAAAAAAAAAAAAGACTGGTCTATTATAAACTCTTATTTTCTCTTCTTTGCTAGCTACCATTGCAGGTTGCGACATTTCCTTCACTCTTTGAGCAAACTGCAAACAGATCTCACTTCATTCCAATTCACCATGTTTACTGCAAAACCCACTTCAAGATCTGTCTTTTTCTCCCTACTCCTCCTTCTCCTACTCGCCATTTTTACCGCCACTTCACTATCTTCCGAGCCCACGGCACCCGATGAGGATAGTGGCGACCTGGGGGATCTTCAAGAACTGATAGCACTAGACGAAGAAGCTGATTTGAGTTCAGAAGGGGGTCGTCATGAGAGCAAAGATAAGCCATCTGGGGCTGAGCTATTGAGCAGAGCTCATAGAATTGTGCTTGAGCTTAACAGTGATAACACCAAGAGTGCCATTGATGAGGCAAAGAATCAAGAAATTGTGATTTGGAGAAAGAAGAAGACGGGTGCACCTGTTCTTAGGATTAATTCAATTAATGAGGCAACTGGAAATTTTCAGATTACTCTCAAGGTTAGTTTAATTTGCCGTTAATTTTCAATTCTATCTTCATTCATTTTCCGACAACCACTGCACGTACCTGCGACTAACTTTGTGTTGTTTGCCCGCAGAGCTTCTCAGAGATTAACATATCTATTGGTGAGGGCTCTGACTTCACGGGTGTACCCACAAAGTTTCTGTCGGTGAACGGGTCATTGAGGATAGGCGTGTACAACCCTGCAACATTCTACGGCATCCATGTTAGCTCTACACCCATCAATCTTGTCTTCTCCAACATCACTGTCGCCACTGGCCAGGTAACTAACACCCATATACAAAATAATATAATAAATACATTATTTGACTTGATAACCACAATATAAATGTTATAATTTCACTCTTAGTATGATTGTGTATAGTTTGAACTGATCAACTTTGATATTAGGAATTAGGATTAAGCTTTTAGTACTATGTAAAAAGTTAATGTGGAAGGTACTGAACTTTCTTCTACCTTTGCCTAACACTAGGTTGGTTTTTCCTATTTGTGGCCTCTTTTCTATTTAGAGTCATAAGATATGATAATTAATTATCTCCTTTTGATCTTTTGTTAGTTAGAATAAAATCACAAAACGTGATTTATCAAGTGCGTTGTACTCCTTGGATATTGATTTCAATTTTCTTAATTTCCTTGATACCCAAAAATAATGAATATATTAAGAGCGAAAGTGGAGAAGTTGACATGGTTTTAAAAATTTTCAGTTGAAGAAGTATTATCAACCTAAGAAAAGTCGTCGAACAGTGATGGTGAACATACAAGGAACTAAAGTCCCCTTGTACGGGGCAGGATCGAGTCTGACGACAACCAAAAACAAGGACGGCACAGTAGGTTATCAAGTTCCATTGGTGCTGAATTTTGAGGTGAAGTCTCAGGGAGACATGGTGGGGAAATTATTTAGGACGGAGCACCGGAGAAAGATATGGTGTGAGTTCATCATTGACTCCTTTAGCAATAAGCCGATCAAGTTCAAGAAACATTCATGTGCTTACACTTAGTCGTCCTCCATCAATTAATGAAGTTTTTTTTTTCCTAGAAATGATATGATGTTTTAATTTGTGGGACATTTTTATTCAAATTTCTATAGAAGTTGTTTTTGTTACAAAGGATGTTTAATCTTTGAGGTATCATTTATTTTATGACGATAGAAATGGTCATCACTATTTGAAGATGGATATACACTTCGAGTATGATATAATAACCAATCAAGAATCAAACTTGTAATTATATGATACTAAAATTGCATTTTACCCCTTTAGTCATCTTCTTTTTTAGACATACATGTCCCATATGATATAATAACACAATCAATAATTAAACTTACATTGTGAAAATGATAAAGTGATATGATGAAGACATGAATGCTTACTTCTTTTCTCTAATAGGTTAAACTAAATAAAATATTAAAGGAATAAAAAAATTAAAGTAATACAGAGTATATCTCAAAATTTTGGGTTATATTATATGTACTATATATTTATACTTCCTCACTTTTACTTCATAATGTGACAAAGAATGATAAATTATCTTCATCATATAGATCAGTCTCTAGAAAAATGTCAACATTACAGTTTTATGAGAAGAGTAAAATTAAAATTGATAGTATAAATTAACTAAAAAGAAAATGTCATATTTCTCCAAATTTTGAAGAGCAAAATGGATAAGTTTTCAAAGTTAGCAACATTGTTAGTTTTAGGACTCTTAGGAAGCCCACGGAGGTCTAACACAATCGAAAGATTAGTAGATTTACCAGAAAATATAAAGAAAAATGAATAAGTTGAGTTGCTAGAGAGTAGAATATAAGAAATAGAGAGATATAGGAACATGACACTATGATCTTTATGTGAAAATTCAAAGGAAAATCACGGGTCTTCTTTGTGCTCCTCCCCTTTTCATTGTGCTCCTCCCTTCTTTTATACTAGTAAGATTAAAGTGTCCGTTGGGTGAGTCAATGTCGCAATAAATAGAATTTAATAGAAAAATAATGGGTGATAAAGGGATAGATGTTGGGTGGCTAATGGGTTATGAATAACAAGTTATAATGGGGTAATTAATGAGTGGTAGTGGGTTGTAAGGGGTTTTATTGTGAGTAATTAGTAGGGTAAATGGGTAATTATATTGAGGGGTATGAAGAGATTTAGATATTTAATCGGGTTTAAGTAGTCTAACTGATTCTCATATTGGGTATCCATCATATATATTATGTAACTAAAAAAATGCAGAAAATTAGTGTAGCATTATTATCTTATTTTGTAATTGTATTGTATGCCAAAAATTGAGCTTTAGTTAAGATTAAACGGCGGCGTGACTGTCGTTCCTAATTATCAGCGGTCAAACCGTCCACGGTTCATTCATCTTAAGCTGGAAGACCATTGCAGGTTGCCACATTTCCTTCACTCTTTGATCAAACTGCAAACAGATCTCACTCCACTCCAATTCACCATGTTTACTGCAAAACCCACTTCAAGATCTGTCTTTTTCTCCCTACTCCTCCTTCTCCTACTCGCCATTTTTACCGCCATTTCACTCTCTTCCGAGCCCACGGCACCCGATGAGGATATTGACGACCTGGGGGATCTTCAAGAACTGATAGCACTAGACGAAGAAGCTGATTTGAGTTCAGAAGGGGGTCGTCATGAGAGCAAAGATAAGCCATCTGGGGCTGAGCTATTGAGCAGAGCTCAGAGAATTGTGCTTGAGCTTAATAGTGATAACGCCAAGCGTGCCATTGATGGGAACGAGTATGTTTTGGTTCTGGGTTATGCCCCATGGTCCGAGACTAGTGCTGAGCTGATGCCAAGATTTGCCGAGGCTGCAACTGCCCTCAAGGAATCGGGAAGTCCCGTCTTGATGGCTAAGGTTGATGCTGAGCGGCATCCTAAGATTGCTTCCAATCTTGGGATCAAAGGGTTCCCAACTATGCTTCTCTTCGTCAATGGCTCCTCTCAACCTTACACTGGTGGATTTTCAGCGTACGCAATTCCCTTTTGCTACTTATTTGGATAATTGAGACTGTTCTAATGGGGATAGTAAAAAAGATTGTGCTTTTCTTAAGTAATTGTTAGATAATAATGATTCAATTGATGTGTATACTGACTTGCATATGATATATTCCTGTAAAGACTTGTTCTTTGGTCTATGTTACAGTTTGGGGAAGTGGATAGTATGCAATTGTACAGGCATTGGTGTTTGTTACATGTGCATACATTGTGTTGATCTTTATATGTGGTGTCACCTGTTTATTAGGCAAGAAATTGTGATTTGGACAAAGAAGAAGACGGGTGCACCTGTTCTTAGGATTAATTCAATTAATGAGGCAACTGGAATTTTGCAGAAGCATTCTATGTTTGTAGTTGGGCTGTTTGAGGGATTTGAGGTATGTTAGCTTTTGTTGTTTTGAAATCCTAGCTAAATTTTATTCGGTTAATTCAATACAGATTTAGGAAAATGCATCCGATTATTGAAGAACAAGCATGAATAGATAGATCCCTTAGCAATTATGGGAAACCATCACTGTATGGTGATGGCCTTTGGAAAATCGAATCTTGAAATTAATTTCTTGTTCTACTGGCTGATCAATATTACTGCCAGTTATTAAGATAAACTTTAAAGCTTCTCCTGCAAGAAATTTTTCCTCTTTTTTATTTTTTGGGGGTATTTTATGGTCCTTTTTCTTTTTCTTCATTTGGTAAGAAAAGTATTCTAATGGCTAAACATGTACTAAAAAACACTCCTTTCTCCTTTTGCAATCATTCTATGGACTCTCTCTCTCTCCCCCTGTCTCTGTGTCTCTAAGCCTAGTGTGTTTGGTTGACTTTTGAGGTCTGCTCCACTCCAAGAGAAGCATACAAACAATGCAAAACAAATGCACAATTTTCTTGGGTTGGTTTCTTATGGTGTTATGAATTGTTACAAACGTAATTTTTCAGGGACCTGATTATGAAGAGTACAAAAAAGCAGCACAAATTGACAATGAGATACAGTTTATTGAAACTAGCAGTGCAGAGATTCTCAAGGTTCTATTCCCTGATGCCAAGCCTGCTAAACTTTTCCTTGGTCTAGTGAAAAGCGAACCAGAAAAGTACACTTCATTTGGTAGGTTCATTTTTTTTTTTTTGTTTTTTAATTACACCTAAAAGTTCTTCCCATTCTTCACTCTCCAAAGATATTAATTTGTCGACCGTTGTAGTCTTTTTATTTTAATGCAGCTTGTTATAATGTTATGTATATATTTTGACCCTGCTCACTCTTTTAGCCTGTAGAAGTCCTTTTATTGCTGCACAAATAAATTATTTAATATACTACCTACTTCTTCATGTATCTATTATGGTTTGAGGTATGACTCTATTCATGTGGATTTCAGAAGGAACCTTCAATGCCAATGAAATCCTGCAGTTCTTAGAAGATAACAAGTTTCCCTTAGTTAGTGTGCTGACTGAACTTAATTCTGCGAAAGTCTTCTCCAGTGCCAGCAAACTCCAGGTTACAATTATGAGCCAAATCAATGCCTCTACTTTTATTTCCCTCATCGTCATTTGTATTTATTCATATACTGAAGCCCAGAATTTTTCTTGGGATGCATTGTTCTCATTATTTGATTTGGTTGGATAATAAACCGTATTACTGAAACTGTGGCCTAGACTAACCTATGTGTTTTGCTGTAATCTAGGTATTTGTCTTTGCTGAACCTGATGCATTCAAGGAGCTCCTTGAACCTTTGCAAGGTGTTGCAAAGGAGTACAAATCAAAGGTTCCGAACTGACCTTGCCCTACTGAAGAATATTTTGCGTTCCAAGTAAGAACGGTTCTAAGTTCTAACATAATATATGTTAATGCAGATAATGCTGATATATGCAGACATCAGAGATGACAATCTTGTGAAGCCGTTCTTGACTTTGTTTGGACTAGAAGAACCCAAGGACATTGTTGTTAGTTTCCTTTAGTAGAATGTTTTGGTTTTAAATCTCGTACGACAAGCTGTCTCATTTAACTGAAGATATTGTTTTTCTTTTGTGATTTTTTAGGTAATTGCTTTTAATTACACTATTGGCTCCAAGTACTTGCTGGAGTCCACTGCCACACCAAGAAGCATTAAAGTAAAATAATTTAGTCCGACTTATTTCTTCTTTCGGATTCTTGCTACTGCTGTTTCATTTACATTAAAGTTGTGCGCCTTTAGGGCTTCTGCTTAGGGGTTCTGGATGGGACTGTGCCACCGTACTACAAATCACAGCCAGCACCTGACAATGTGAGTTTCTCATATATTTCAAACGTCCGATTAATACTCTTTTCTTGATATTGTGTTGGAAATACTTATTCTTCTTTAATCACCCCGGTAATAATGATTCTGGCATGTTAAATTTGCAGAAAGATGCAAGCATTCTGGCTGTGGTGGGAAAGACGTTTGATGACTTGATCTTGAACAGTCAAAAAAACATTCTTCTAGAGGTTTGTGGATTTATCGAGCTGAAATGCACCTTTCGTTTTGTCTAGAGGTTTGTGAATGTTGATCCATTTTTCTAGATTATGATTCTTTTTCTGTTTTTCGTATTCAAGGTACACACACCATGGTGCATCACCTGTGATACTACAAGCAAACAAATGGAGAAATTGGCCAAGCATTTCAAGGGTTTAGAAAATTTGGTCTTCGCAAGAATAGATGCTTCCGAGAATGAACACCCAAAACTACAGGTCAGTTTCTTTGTTTTCGCTGCAAATAACGTGTAATAAAAAGATGCATTTTTCTTAATGTTTCTAGTCTTTCAAGTGTTGGAACGAGTTACATTCGTATGAAACAAGCTTTATGGTTTAATCGTATGCAGGTTGATGACTATCCGGCATTGCTATTCTACTCGGCAAGAGACAAATCCAACCCGGTAACTATTTAGTTAAAGACGACTTTTTCAATAAATTAAGTCACCTTGTCTGGTTCTCATTTTCATAGTTTTCTGTAGATAAAATTTCCCACAAAATCGAGCTTAAAAGACCTAGCAACACTCATCAACAAGAGATTGAAAGAGCAGGATGCCGAAATCAAAGATGAGCTGTAGGAAACCGGGTGGCGTGCCCAAAGAACACAAAAACATGCAAAGATTATAGTGCCATAATGTTGCAGATAAGCATATGGATTTGTGACAATATGAATACCATAATGTTGCAGATAAGCATATGGATTTGTGACAATATGAATATGTGCTTCATTAAAAAAAAAAAAAAAAAACATGATTTTATAGATAATTACAAAGGATATTCATCCAGCAGAGAAGAGTCTGTTGTACTAACCTGAAGACTGAAGAGTAGTAATTCAGTTCTTGAATTCTTCAAAAAATTTTGTAAAGGAATATTTCCTCTTTATGTGGCTTTTATATAGAGTGTATCTGTATGACTATATCCAAATTCCATTATATTGGCCATATTCTGTGAATCTGTGATCTGTCTTTTAGTTGAAATCGAACAGTGTAGTCCAACTATCAGTTTAGCTTAGGTGAGACAGAACACGTCTTTCAATTAATAGAATAATATATTACAACATAGGAATAGAAACTGATCCAACAAGCATTATAGGGACAAAGTTAGTCCCAATAGTTTACAAGAACATGAACCATGATCAAAGGTCATGTTCCAGAAAGATTTTTTTTATAAAAAAAAATCTTGGAATCTCTCAGAGTACTGTATGTCTGGCAAACTTTACAACAATGGTTTATGGACAGAGCCTTCATGTCAGATTACAGGAGTGACAAGCATAAAGAAGAAACTCTCTCCAGTGGAATTAACAGTAACTTGAACAAAAAGAGGAAAAGAACAATCTGTAGAAGCAGTGTTAGTAAGTAGTTTCACAGATGTTAACAAATCCCATATATTCTCCTGCCTCTATCTTCCTAATAGTGTCGAAGATGCCAACGCCACCTGTCATCAGAAAACGAGAGAAAAACGAAGCGATTAAAATGGAAGTTACTGCAAGAAAATATTAGACCTTTGAAACTGATATGAATAGAAAACTTGCCTAATGATATTGCGCTCAGAAAGATCGTGAAGGCCAAAACAAAGACGATCACGGATGCCCTCCCTACTATACTAATTATTTTTCGCACCACATGTTGGCCCACCAACGCAGCAATAGTAGCCACCGCAACGAAATAGAGAGCTGCAAGATTGATACAAAGAACGTATGTATCTGGTTAGCGAAATTGAAACTGAAGGTATCAATCTTAGGAGGTTGATGGATTATGATTTATGAGGCGACTAACCATAAGGTACGGGGAAACGGTGAAGAAGGTAGTATTGTATGACCGACATTGATGACGAAAACAGCATTATGAAGGTGGCAGTGGCACTTGATACCTGGATATGAAGTTTCTAAATCAGTGCAAGTCGGGACTTAATTCTCAAGTATTTGTTGTAACAAGATAATGAAGGCACCTGGGGAGGAATTCCAAGCTCTAGAAATAATGGACCCAAAATGAATCCCCCTCCAAGACCTAGCAACCCACCAACTACACCAGCCAAAATCCCGAAGAAACAGTAAAGAACGAGCTGAAGCACTTTCCAGTTTGTTGCGACTTCACCATTTGACATGACTACCCTCCAGCCCTTGTATAAGCAGACTGCCTGATAAGCCGAAGCTCCTACAGCAACAGGGATCTGAGAATCAACAGAAATTTGCCAGGTTTAATAGAGAAGCTGAATGCATACATTTTCGTCAGAAAAGCCTACTCACCGGTTAGGCATCCAAACTTAGGGGAATGTCATATTTTTTCTAATATGACAAATAGAAGTACCTGTGAGGCATTGAATATCCAGTACGTCATGGAACAAGGTGTAGCATAGTTCTGAAACGAAATAGCCAAATTCCCATCAGTTAGTAAACGATGTTGTAGGAGAGTAGTGAAAGCAATAATGTATCCAAGCATGTGATAGAAAGAACCTTGCCGATGTGCAGCACTAAGATTACAACCCAGACAGCAATCAGTACACCCAAGTCCTTCAGGTGCATATTCTCAATGCATGAGACCTGGAAAGATACAAGGAATTAGCATTGAAGGGTTATCCTTCTGCCTTTACAAGTTTTTTTTTTTTGGTGACAAGACTACTTGAGGGTGTGCACTGGGTAAACCTTGCTCGTGACCCTAATTGGCAAAGGACCACAAGGAGGTAACCAGGTTAGGTTGTCCATAGTTGACCGAATCAAACCAAGAAGGCCAATAGACCAGTCCGTTGGGAGTTGAACTTGTAACCTTGTGGTTACCAAGTCAATAGTCTGACCAACTCGGCTGTGGTGGTTGGAGTTGTTGTTTTTAGAAAGGAGTTACCTCTGGTGCTTTTTGTCCATCCTGTTTCATTCCAGAAGCATTATTTGTGCCTCCAGGTAGGAGGCTGTATCCACCTTCTCTGCTGTCGGCACCTGGCCCAAGGTTAACTAGTTTGTTAAATGGTCTCAGAATTATAGTGAAAGCTGACGACACGAGAAGGAAACTTACCTTGAGATGCCAAGCGCCTAGCAGCCTCCTATATCAGATGCAAGCGGGGTACCAAAAAAAATGTGTCAAAAAATTTTCAAAGTCTAGTATACAACTTGACAAATGAGAAACGGGTGAAGACTAAAGCAACCTTTTTTATTATAGTTTCTTTCTTCCATGTTTCAACACCTTTGAAGAATGCCTTAGTTGATGCAGCTGCAATGCACAGAACCAGTAGTAGTTATTATCCAGAAAGTAGGACCACTCATTTGTTCCACATGTGCAAAAGAGGGAAAATTAGGGTTTAGTCAAGTTGATTTCAATTCCAAGTACTTGATAGGACCTTTTATCTTAAATTCTTAAAATAGGAAATAAAACGAAGTAAAAACATGATATCAAATGTGGCCAAAACTGCAGTTGGAAGTTGGAACTAGTAGTTACCTAAGAAAAGAATGATGAGCAAAACCGTAACCATCCACTCAGAAAAGAGGACATTGAGAATAACCCCGATACTGATCCCAAGCAACAGCATTGGCTGTAGAAGAAGAGCTAGATCATAATCAATGATGGGCAGGTCAAGCGTTGGATGGCGTAGCTTGAGATTGTAATAAACGGTGGCACCTGCAGCGCCAGTGATCATACCTGAGAAGACACAGAAACCTCAAACACAGTACAATGCAATGCATAATGAATCATCCCCAAAAGGTTCTATCTTACATTTCGAGATTGCAGTCGAGGACTTTGCATCAAATCCAATGATGAGAGTGAGCATTGGAACAAAAATCCCACCTCCTCCCACGCCTCCAACGCTCCCAAAAGCTGCACCAAAGAACCCAATCACACTACCAAGAACTACCCTCCAGCCAAATTCCAAGTCCTGCAATTCATTCCTCAGATTTCTTGAACATGTCACATAAACCTCACAAACTACATCTCTCAAACCTCAATATTTACATTCTCAACAAAGACTTGCAGTTAATAGGGACAAAATTGAAGCCAGTTTAAAGGAAAACAAGTGTAAAGAAACAAACTTGATGGAGGAAATGATGGAACTTACAGGCCAAACATGTTGGTAAACTGCTTTACCAGCCTCCAAGAGGGAGTTGAGAAGCTCAAAAACGTAACCTGATCTAAAGTCTTCTTCTTCTTCTTCAGTTGTTCCATCGTTTCTCAAAATGTTTTTGTGGTGCCTTAGCTCTGCAGATGCCTCAGCAAAAGCAATACTTAGAAAAGCAAACGCAAGCACTGCAATCACAGTCACAAAAGCCTTGAATCTTGAACCAGTTTCAGCCATCAATTGCAGAACCCCACTCCTTTCATAAGCAAGGATTACAACACTAATTAAGTCATAAAAACCACCCAAAAATTCAAACTTGAAGCAATATTCAAGATCATACCATAACTATACTCACCTTGTTCAAAGCTTCTATTGCCCAATCTGTAAAAGATCAACACCTTTATGAATATAATACCTAATTATTCTCTTTGACTCTCAAGTCTGAACACACTATTCTGCTGTTTCTCTCTCTCTTTCTCTCTCTATATGTAGTGTTGGTATATTTTTAGCATTTCAAGTACTGAGGTGGTAACTTTCCTGGTTAGAGAGCCGAGAGGTACTGAACGCAGAGCTCTTTCTCTCTGATGTGTACTGTGAGTATGCTTGTATTGTACGGAGTATTTGAAATCCTTGAATGGTATATGTATACAGACTTGTATAGTTGTATACCTAATTAATGTCAATTTATTGCATGAAGATGCATCTGATGTTGAAGTTTTTGTTTTTTTGAAGCTCTTCATATATATATATATACCGTGCACACATTCGTGGACGACAGCCCACACATCCAATGTAGTATGTAGGTGTGAATCTACCGTATTTGAGTCAGTGTGCACACGTCCATGAACGACAGTGCACACAGGCAGACAGCACACAAAATCATAAAAACTAATTACAACCTTAGATTTCAAAATCCAACGATCTAGAAATGTCCACACGTTTGTATTTTAAACATTGTTTTTGCATAAATGTAATTATATATATTCTCTCTTTATGCCATTTAGAATATTCAATAATTCAATAAATATACAAATGAATTGAGAATTGATTATTGATGAAGTAATTTTGAAGTTTGTCTAATATATTTTTAATATTGTGTACAAAAATTTAGAACGATAATATGTTTTATATAACCACTTTGTGCCACTCGACTTTATATAACTACTTTGTGACGCTCGACCAAAAAGTCATTAGCGATAACAATTTCTTTTTCTTTTTTTTTTTTTCTAATAAAAAAGTACGGAGTATGTTATTTTGTTGGGTTTAATGGCAATGAGTGGTGCATCTTAACTTGCAGAATGGATAATCAAACTAATAAAGTAAAACCTTTCCCCTTAAAATTGATTTAGTCCCACCCTCCACACATGCTAAATTACTTCAAGATCACAAGTTAATTTTAAATGAAAACAAATTAAAAATAAGGTCACTTATATCTGATCTTCAATAAGTGATTAACCAGATACATGGTGAAAGGTTGCTTTCAAAAAAAAAAAAAAAAAAAAAAAAAAAAAAGATACATGGTGAAAGGTTTGATGACTAAATTTAAATAAATTAATTGTGGAGTCACATATTTTTAATAAATAAGAGTATCATAGCGTTTGATAATTAAATTTAAACTAAAGATAGGATCCTTAATTTTAATAAGAAAAAATATTTATTTCACCAATCAACCAAGTGCATGTTGTAGTGTTCGATGATTGAATTTAAATAAATTAAAGTATTTGTAGTATAAATTTAGTTTATGTGTTATATTTGGTAAGCAATTGTAGTCATTTGAAAAATATTTTTATTACCAATTTATCACTTAATAAAATTACACTCTTTACTTATATGGGTAATTCAACCGATCATAGAGGTTAAGTTTGAAGAAAATAACAAGACTTGAGTCTCACCAGCCACAGTATGAGAGCAACCTCTCAAAGTGAGGGGCTCTTTGTGGGCAGTATGCTCTGTCAGTTCTTAGGACTTCTCACTTCATGCACATGTCAAACAAATAGCTCCCTACTAAATCTATACCACGGATTATAACTGGAAATTCCCTTTTTTTCTTTTATAATATAAGTAAATTACATGAAAGAAACGCATAGAATACATGAAAGAAACGCATAGAATGTGTACTCAACGAATTACATTACGTACTCGCACGGGTTTACCTCAATGGTTTAGTGACTAGTATTTGGGGTAAGGAATTACATTACGTGTTAAGGTTAAAGACATGGTATTATATATTGTGGAGGTTAAGGTCGTGCTCATTGCAACCACCACTAGATAGTAGATACAGATCCATCATCCATCCATCAACTCAACGCAGCACATAGAATTATAGAAATGGATATGGAAGAAAGTCAACATCATTAATGGATTAGCTCAACTTACAAGACAAGTTGTACAACTACTATCTTAATATGAGATTCCAAGGGTGGGCTGGTAGGGCATGAAGATTGAAAGGAGGAAGAATGGAGGTCACATCTACATTTAAGCATTTAATAAACTCTAGACTATAGTGCAAATTTAATGGTGAAATGACACGGTTTACTATGCATAACCACCTTCAACTATGATTGGTTTTTCAGTCTTTTCATCATCATCTTCATCCGCATTTGCCGGTTTTTTGCTTGAATTTTTCGCCTTCTCTCCGATCTTCAATCCTTCTAATCCGTCAACGCAAGCTCCGCCGCCGCGGGGCAGACCCGGTGCCACCAGCGCATCCGTTTTGTCTTCGTTTCCGCCTGCACCGGCTACAACCACCTCGTCGCCGCCCACTTCAGGAACTCCACCGCCTGGCTTCTCGGTGACGCAGCTGCCTGGGCCGCCGTCGACTCCCTCCGTGATTCCGACGAGCGAATCGGATGAATCTCCGGTGCTCGGCCACGGATCGTCCACGCAACTGTCTTCGGCTTCGTCGTCCGATGTGGAAATGATAGACCGCACGGCGCTCGCGGCCTTGAGGAATGCCTCTTTGATGGACTCCGGCGGCAGCGCACAATCTTCGAGGCCGGCGTCTTCTAGCCTCGGTGGCCGGATTTTATCTAGCAATCCTTCCTCGGTTGCATCCATATTCGAATTCTAGATCTCTCTCTCTCGTGCCCTAGTATCGGTTATCGTCCCCGTAGAAAAAGAGCAGACTGTAGGCTGGGCGTCATAGTCACAGTGAAATTTTTTTGTTTCCAGTACTGCCCTTCCTTAGATATGATTGCAATTGACGCGTGGCACTCATTCCAGAGGGCGCGTTGTCGATGACTAATCCGTCTCCCGTCCCCACCGACACTGCCGGCTCGTTGTCGTTATTCTTTAATTTGAAGTGTTCGGTGGCCTAATTGCACTTGTTTTTTGTTCAATAACTTAATTGCTAGAAATGACAATATGCTCCATCTTCCGACGGAGATCCTCGATCCCCGCTCCGAAAGAGACGAAAATGAAAAAGATTTTCAAAAAACAGGGACAAGGACGAAGACGAGAAACATTTGTGATTCTCCGTTGAGGACGGGGACAGAGACACCCCTCTCCACCCGCCCCATCCCCGAATATATATATATATATATATATATATATATATATATATATATATATATATATATATATAATTTTAATTTTTAAAATTAGGACTTATATTTTAAAATTTTTATTATTAAATTTAAAATTATTTAACATTTTAACTAGAAGTTGACAGGAAATGGAGAATTCCTGTTCCTGCCTAATTTCTCGCAGGGACGGAAATGGAGAGTATTTCTAATTCCCTGCCAGGGACGGGGATGGAGATAGGGTAGCGGTATACTCCCCGCCCCCGCCCTGTTGTCATCCCTATTAATTGTATTTTCAGGTTTTGTTCAGTGATCAATTTGAATTGTATTTTCAGGTTATGTTCAGTGGTCAATTTGAACCTTATTCTTTAATTTTATTTGTCTAGTGCACACCTACGTGGCTCTTTTTAGGGAAGGTCACAGGATTGAACCCTGTGATATGGTATTAACTCTCTTTGGACTGTAATAGATAAAGAAAATATAAAACAATAGTACCTTGTAATAATGTCAATAGTGCTTTAAAAAAAATGGAAAAAAATGGAAAAAATTGTTATAAGTTAATTTTGAGTATTTTTCTTTTTGTAAAGATAAGCATAAGAAATTAAGAAGACAAAAAACAAACTGTTCAAAGTTGAATCCCTTTCAATGGTACGACTGTACTGGCCTATCTGGACCACAGCAATGAACCGTGTGGGTCATCATCTGTGAACATCAACACATCGCAAAATGAACAATCGTATATAGAGCCATCATTGTTTGGACAGGATCCACTTAAGCTAATAATTTTACGGTGTGAAAAGAAGACAGAAAAAGAAAACAAGCTATCATCACCCTCATGTGTTACAGTAAGGTTCAGAATTAATGCAGAAACAAATACAATGATGCACAGAAAAGCCATTTGTTGGTTGCAACAATTAAGACCATATTTCAACACTCGCATCCTGCCGTTGATCTTTGTTGATGTCCCCTCGCGACATCTATGGTGTCCGGGATATATCTATGTCACACAATAAACAATGGACCACTCACAACTCTGTTGAACAATGCTGCTAAAAATGCATATATATGGTAACAAGAGAATTCTGTAATGGTTTTGATAAGATGTTTGAATACTCACATTTCTTCTTCGGGTTCGTTCTTGAGGGAATCTTTGGCTATACATTGGAAAGCCGCTTCCACGTTAAATCCTTCCTTTGCAGATGTCTCAAAGTAAGGTATATTGCCATTAGAGACACACCATGCCTTGGCCTTTTTCTCGGATACCTGCAAAAAGACATTCAGATGAGATAACCAATTGAGCATATTCGTTTAGAAGAGACGTTAAGGAACTTACCACCCGGCTATTGCCACCATCAACATCCATCTTATTACCCAAAACGACAAATGGGAAGGTTTCTCGACCCAAGGGACTGGCCTGGACAGTAAAGACAAACCGTGCTATATCAGCAATTTATTGCAGGCATAAGAAGATGCTTTAGAAATTGATATATATGTGGACTGCAACCTGAATTAGAAACTCTTCCCGCCAGTTGTTAAGATTCTCGAAAGATTTCGAGACATTGACATCATAAACTAGAACACAGCAATCAGCTCCTCTGTAAAAAGCCACTCCAAGGCTTTGAAACCTTTCCTGCCCAGCTGTATCCCATATCTGACCCGACAAATGATTGCCACGTCCATTAATTAGAGGAGAACATGAATAGTCATCCACGAAGATTGGCCATTTTTACGATAAGGCATTCATTCTTTTTGTTAACAGCACAGTTCGATAAAACACGATACAATAGTTAGACCAACTGTGTTAATCATTTGAGCCTTCGCCTATCAGATTTTTTTTTTTCCTCGAGGAATATAATTGTTAATCATTCATCACTGTTTATAGATGGCTTATTGATTATTGGCCCATTGCTAGAAATCAAAATAGAAAATGCATTAAATTTCACATCAAGGGTAGTTAGACCAACTGTGAGAGACTGATTGAACATGCTAATCTTTGTGTTAGCGTGTTGCTAACCAACCAAGTTTAAGTAGTAATTCACTAATTCATCACTGTTTTTAGATGGCTTATTGAAGTAATTGAACCATTCCAAGAAGGCAAAATATAATAGAAAATGCATTAAATTTTACATCAATTCAAGAGTAGTTAGACCAACTGTGAAACACTAATTGACATTTCTAATATTCGTGTTAGCGTGCTGCCAATCAAGTTTAAGTAAGCATGGCCTTAGCCTATCAGACGTTTTTGAGAAAATGGATTTTTGTTTGTGTACCCTACCTTTGAACAATTAATCATACTTTACACCTTATGACCCGAGCCTACAGAGATCATGAAAGAACAATATCTCAAGAACCTTCTAGATGATGACCCCGGTATCTACAACCGGAAAGATGGAATCTAGCAAATAACTGGTGTGGACTATGCATGAAAAGCCAAAGAGAATGTTCCAACGCTAAGAGGTGCATAAACTAATGAAAGGGAAATATAAGAAAGGAAACGAATAGAGACGTTTAAAGTCGTGAAGTAGTGAATTAAGTCTAACCTGCAACGTGTACAATCTATCTTCAAACTGAACCTCTTTTGTCAAGAAATCAGCTCCAATGGTGGCTTTATATTGATTGCTAAACTTACCATTCACATACCTAAAACCAATCACATAAGAGACAATGTATTACAAGACACAGAAATCAGAACCATCTTGAAACAAGGAACTTAAGTGTTGGGTGCATTTGAGCTAGCTTACTGGTTCATCAGAGAAGTCTTCCCCACCCTACAGACAAACCAAACAGTACAGTTTCTAGTTAATTATAAAGCCAACAACAAAAAAAACTATGACGTTTCAACATCCATGCACCATTTGTTTAGTTTAGCCAATTCCAGAAATTTTTTCTCTTTCCAAATTAAGATTTACAAGACAAAAAGCGAAAGCTTCCATATTTGTATTACTAGAAAGCTAAAACAGAACAGAAAAGTGTCAAAGTTTGAATTTTTATATTTCTTCCTTTTGTTTTTATATCTATAGACAATTAATGAAACAACATAGGAAAGCTCATAAAGCAATCTAATTTTGTCAGGAAACAATCTGGGAAACTTTGAAACGAAAACGTTAAAGAAAAATAAGTACCCGCTGTCACCGAGGATTATGACCTTGAGAAGCGTACGCCGTCGAGATGCCATTCTCTCCGGCAACTTCAATTCCAAAATCTTCTAGCAATCAACTGAGAGGACGCTGGGGGAGAGCCTGTTGACTTTATGAATGTATTTTTCTCCTTTTTTAAAATTATAAATAATTAATTAATTATAGACCAAAAAAACACTAGTCAAGGAATCAGGGGTGGCTGCAGTTGGAAAATTTGCAGCGAAAGACAGCTTGGAGGGGATTCAGTTTCTTGTTTTAAGATTCATCTGTAGTTGGCTTGTCGTGGGTCCCAATAACTCGTCATATAAAATTTTCTGAGTGTGAATAATATTATTTTTTTGTGTAATTTATAAATTAATACACAAAGACATAATTTATTCCGTGTTATTTGTCAATTTCCCTGATAACTTCTACTTGTCCTTCTTCGTTAGGTAGTGGTGTAGTACAGAAGTACCATCAACCGAAATGCACGTGGTACGTCTATTTATTAAAAATATATATATACTCCATTAAACAACATATGACCAGTGTACAAATTTTTTTTACTCAAACTAATAATCCAAACATTTTTTTAAAAATTTTTAATGCATTTTAACACAATAACTGAATAAATATTACGTAGTATGATCTAACATAATAATAATATGTAGAGAGCAGGAGTGAAAATTTCTTGATGTCAGACTGTCAGACATATTTGTTACACTTACACTGGATCCAATTTTAAGGTTCAAATAATCATTGAACAACAAACAAGAACAACTATGAACAGAATGGCATTGCAATGCCAAACATCAAGAAATCCTATGTAAGGTTAGTCAGTTTCTCATGTTTCATTCATAGTTCCAAATCTCAACTTCCTTGGATTTCTATTTCTCTCACTTCTGGAGTGGTTCCTCGTTGGATTTCAGTACCGGATTGCGTGTCTTGGGTTGTTCTTAAGCCTTCGCTACTCGAGCCAGAAGGATGAGGACCAAACTCGCTGGTTGGGCCGCTGCATTCGCTGGAATTTTGCGTCTGGGTTTCTAATGCCATCTTCCTGAACTTCAACAAGTCCTCTTTGTACTGTGCCGAGTCATAATCTGAGCTTCCGAAGGGTTCTTGAATCCCACTGTGTCCAGGTCTAACTCCCCCGATTAAATCACCCACCGGTAAGTTTCCTTCTAAAGCTCGAACTATCTGCCTCAGAAAAGTTGCAGTACAAGGGGGATTAAACGTGTTCTTATGAAAATGCAGGAACTCTAAATGGCTCTTCACGATACCTGACTCATCCGAGGCCGGCGCCGTGACAAATGGCGCACGCAGACAGCAGCACAAGTAACCATTCGGGTCATCTCCGTGGAATCATAATTTTTCATTAACTTTGGATCAGCAAGAGCCTCGAAGTTGCCATCATCCATTGCTTGTGACAGTAAAGGTCTTGCCTAAATTCATGAAAATGTGTCACCTTCCCAAATACGTTTCCAGATTTTGCAATTAACAATTAACAATTGCAAACGCCATCAATTCAAAAGTTTTAAACTTTGGAATAATAAACCTGTAAAGAAGACTTACCCAATCGACAATGTTATCATCAAGGTAGTATTGAGCTTTATCAATCGGTCGCCGCCCAGTAATCAGCTCCAAAAGCATGACTCCAAAGGAGAATACATCTGACTTTTCAGTCAGTTTCCCTGTAAGAGCATACTCAGGAGCTAAATATCTGCAAGAGGTAGATGTTCATGAATGATAAGTACGCAAGAATGAAGATGAAAGTAACAATACAGGAGATTCAGACAGAACAAAACATTAAAACTCAAGCAATTTGAAGTAACTGCAGCCAAAACAGATTAATCAGCAGAAGAAGAAGAAAGCAGCTCTAATGAAGAAGAAATGCATCTTACCCAAAAGTCCCCATTACTCGTGTAGAGACATGAGTATCAGCATCAGGATTCAATCTAGCAAGACCAAAATCTGCCACCTGGATAAAGAATTAATACCAATGTTCGTGATCAAGGAAAATCTTAACATGATCATGCCAAAAAAAAAAAAAAAAAGCATATAGTCCAGTAATATCTAGTAAAAGTAATCAAATTTTCACCCATATCAGACAATTGCATGTTCACAAAAATATTTTATCATGCTGGGTGGGAATGACTTATAATGCAATAATCAAGATAAAAACTAAACTTTTGATTTCTCATAATGCAGAAACTTCCTGCTTTCATAAATAACTAAGAGATTTGCATTTTGTATTTCTTTCTTTTTTGGAAGGATATGTTAGGAATATAGCGGACTAATGCGGAAGCGAAGAATCGAAAATTGAGAATTATAGAAGTTAAATTATAGGGAAAATATATATAAACGAAGAAATTATATAGAATGACAAATGAATATAATATAAAATGAGAAAATATAAAATATATGTATCAAATTGAATTCATTCTTCCTTCTTTATCTTTATTCTTCACATAGCATATATATATTATATTCAATTTAATATATATATTTTATATAATAGGGAAAATATAGTAAATGACAAATAAATAATTAACAAAGGGAAAATATAAATATAAATATATATATATATATATATATATATATATATACATATATATATATATTAATCTCTAAAACAGAATTACAAAAGGAAATATATATATGTTATACGTAAGAGAAAGAAGGATGAATTGATATTGATGCGATACATTGAAAGCAACAAACTAAGCACCTATTTATACAATGATTTCGAACAAATGTTGCGGCAATGTATCGCATCAATATCAATTCATCCTTCTTTCTCTTACGTATAACATATATATATTTCCTTTTGTAATTCTGTTTTAGAGATTAATATATATATATATATATATATATATATATATATATATATATATATTTATATTTTCCCTTTGTTAATTATTTATTTGTCATTTACTATATTTTCCCTATTATTTAACTTCTATAATTCTCAATTTTCGATCATTCGCTTCCGCATTATTCCGCTATATTCCTAACAGGATAGTTACTAGCGCTTACATTAGTTCATTCTAATCAGCCCACACACATATTACGAAAACTAAACTTCCGATCTCTTCTAATGCACTTGAGGGGATTAGTGTCACTATTCAGTAAAAGCCAGTGTGAATAAAGCAATCAAAGAAAAACATGTTATAGATGGCCAAAAACTTCATCAGTATATATGCATATAAAAATTTTGAGTGCAGATGCATGTTTATGACTCCACCTTAGGCTCAAAATTGTTGTCTAGAAGAATATTAGCAGCCTTGATGTCTCTATGTATGATCTTGGGACGGCCTGCAAAATCAACAAAATTCAATACTACAGTAAACAAAAGAATATACACAATTATTGCTAAGAAACGTAGGATTTTGAAACTCACAGTCTTCATGCAAATAAGCCAATCCTTTGGCAGAACCCAAAGCAATTCTCATCCTTATTTCCCAACTCATTGGAGGCAGCCCCTTCCCTGAAAAATGTTTTCACCCAGAGTTTTATGAAGAGTCACATGAAAAATGTAGAGATATCATACCAAAAGAATCTACTATATCAATGGCTCTGAATCATTAGAAGGAAAAAGCATTGAAACTCAAACGTTTATGTGAGGGTACTGCAGTAGAAGCTAGAAATTAATGAATTATTATTCAAAATCTAGAAATCCAAACTCTTCCCTTCTTCAAGATAGTGTACTAACCATGTAAGTGGAACTCCAAAGTATTGTTTGGAACAAACTCATATACTAGCAACCTCTGAGCCCCAGAAATGCAATGGCCCACAAGTGAAACAAGGTGAAAATGATGAACATTGCTAATAATTTCCACCTCTGCTTGAAATTCGCGCTCCCCTTGTCCACTACCAACTTTTAGTTTCTTAATTGCAACCTCTCTTCCATCACCAAGCACTCCTTTGTGAACATATCCAAAACCACCCTGACCAAGAAGGTTGGTATTGGAGAAGTTATCTGTTGCAATTGCTAATTCCTCATAGGTGAAAGTAGATTTTGAGCAACTAGCGCCCACATTAGGGGTTTGTTTTGAAGACGGAAGATCAATTGGAGAGAATTGAGATTGGAAAGTTGATACAATGCCAGGTTCAGTAGAAAGCTTTTGTGGCATTCCAACTGTGTTGTTCGATGATGGAGGTACATTTGATGGCCAATTATGTGACTGGCTTCCAAAAGGGTAATCTAAGAACGAAACAAGCATTAGTAAATATCATCGTTAGAGTAACAAGAGCTCAACCTCAAAGAATGCAAAAATACAACATATGACATTATGATATTATGTGTGTCTATCTTGTTCATGCTTTGAAGAGGTCTACTCTGATTGCAGTGTTTATGGAAGTTATGATTCTCCAAACTGAAATAGATCTTAGACATCAAATTGACCCAATGACAATAATCCAAAATAGCACACATTGGAACATGTGATTAATATGTATAAAATAAACATAATTATACAAATCTGGTACAAATTCAAGCCATTTGGCTACTTTGACATCTGTTATTATTATAATTAAGTACTAATACTAGTGGTTAAGGAGAGAAAGACAAACACACCATGTCCTACTCCAATTAAATTAAAAATGTTAGTGGAAACTCCGGCAATTTAACAACAAATTAATGGCAGCAGACATTCTAGTAGAGCAGATAGTAAAGTGGAGCATAAGAACATTTGCTAAACCTAAAAATCCAATCTTTTACTCAAATAATGATAAAGATCTCACCTTTGGGGCCTTGCTCAGAAGCATTAGCAAAACCATATAAACCATGAGCCCTCTTTCTCCTCTTGTACCAGAACACGAAAATGCCCACGCACACAAGCATAATAAGTCCACCTATGCCTATTCCGATTAGGAGCGCCACCCTTACCTGGTTGTTACTCGATATCGATGGGGGAGGAACGGCCTTGAAGCTCCCGTTTGCCCCAGGCGGCGGAGACAGCAGAGTTCCTGGAGCAGGCGGGCTGTCAGTAAGCGGCGGAGCGGCGGTGGCGTTCCCCGGACTAGTTGGGTTATCCGGCAGCAGCATTGGAGGCGGAGCCAGCACGCCCGCCGGATCATCCGAAGACATCGGAAAAACTTAGCTGTATAGATTTCCGGCGAGAGAAGCGGCGGAGATTCTGAAATGCAATCGGTTTTACCTTTCCGTTTTCTGTATTTCCTTTATATTTCTCCGTACTTCAATTACACTTTGTTGGGGTTGGCTGGACTGTATAGAAAGTGACGAAAAAAAGAATTTCGAACGCAGAACGCAGCTTTTCAACACATGGCGAGCAACGTGAACAGTAGCAGCGAAGACGATGATATATTGATATGGAAAATGACCGTACGCAAAACGACACCGTTCTCTCGGCCGTAGTGCCACGGACAAAAATCAGCGCGTCGATTCCCATTTATGAATCAACATTCCTTTTATACACTACTGGATTTTTCCTCCTACGATGAATCAAAGCCTATCGCTTCGGATTCGACCTAGATTATACATTATACGTCTGCATAGCCACACACTTTATTTATTTTGACATGTTTAGTAATATAGTTAGCTTATCAAATAATTTTAATTTTGATCATTATTAATTATTTAACTTTATTAAATAATTAATTAATATAAGTATTTGATTAATTAATTTGTTATAATAATTTATTATTTTTTGATCAATTTTTTAAAAAGTCATTTTTACATATAATAAGTTATCAGCTAAAAAACTAATTTATCTAACATTTTTCTACAATCAACTAATCAAACTCATTAATTCGATCAATCAGTTAACAACTATTTACCAAACATCTATTTATCATTTCCTTTTCCAAAAAAAAAAATAATAATTAAAAATGCATATGAAAATCACCAACATTTTTTTTAAAGCCCAACAACATTAATCTTTATTGTTTTCAACAGATATGATACTATACATACAAATAATTTTAAAAATAATAATAATAGAAATAAAACGACAGACAAAGATTGGAGGCACGTGAGAGTATGGTTGCTTGTACAAGGTTCCTCCCGAGTTGGTGAACGACCACTGAAACTTGTCAACTTGTCCAGCTATTTTCCATCACTGAAATTATTTATGGTTTTGATTCCTACCACAAATCCACAACTATTGAGCTAGTGTTTGGGTTTTAAATTGAACTCGTGTATGTAAAAGTCTACAATATAATTTTATGTTGATTATTGAGTTTGAAATGTAAATTGGGTCAATTTATTTCCTCAAGCTCATAGACCCCAACATGTTCATATAATTTAGGATATAATTAAAGAATGCCAATAAATTTGAATTATTAAAAAAGAAAAAAAAAACTACATAATTATCTGGTAAAGTTTATAATTAAGAGAAACTTGTGTGTACTATGTTTGCATGCAAGATGATGCACGGACATTGCATGTATTTTTGGTGTGTAATGGAAATGTCTATTGTTTCTATTTGATCATGTGAATAATTTATTCTTTTTTTTTTTTTTTTGGTTTGGTTTGTATAATTTTGGTTAAATTAGTTAATCGGATATAATTAATTGAAAATTTTTTGATCGATTAATTTGGCAGTAGGTATTATTTAGGTTCGGTGATATATTGGTTTTGCTAAAATTGAAATTTATTATAATCCAATTTTGATTCATTAGTTGGAATTTTGGTTAATTTTACGTAATTAAATAACTAAGCAATTATTACCGAAAATATGTTGGTAACTTGTAATAAAGGTAAAATGTACATTTTTACTTATTTAATTTAATAGTATAGTTGCACCTGATTTTAGCTAAATTACTTAATTTTACACATTCAACAAGTTTAGTGATATATATATATATATATATATATATATATATATATATATATATATATTTCAATCTACTATACACGTAATAACAAATATTTTTACAAATCATTTGGCTAAATAATTAATACTTTATTCATCTATACTAGTATTTGCGTCCGTGCGTTGCACGGAATGAATTTATTATAATATTTTAAAAATATTTAGATCGATATACAATTGTATAAATTATAACATCGAATATTATATAATATAATTGAAGAATTGAGTTGCACCGATTGTGTTTTCTGATGTTATCAATACTTGAATTCGAGTAAATAATTGCCCAATTAATAGTTAACGTACAGATATACGCATTCGGTGCTGCAACTTTAGAGATTTTATATATCAGTGTTTAGAATTTGTATTAATTGGACTAATTAGCTCGTTGTCTAGCAACTCAGTTATAGAAATTATTTATACGGAAGATATATTTTCTATGTAGATATATAGCAATTTTGTCATCTTTGTATATAAAAAACCATAATATCAATAACTTGAATTATACATTATTGAAAATCTCTTTGTAGACAGCATTGGTAGTAGTAACGGAATTTTATCCATCCTCGTCTAGAGTTAAAACCATCAGACCATCAGGATGGATGACTCGGGAAAAATTCACATACAATTAACCGTTATTAAAGACGGGTTTTTTTTAGTAATAACTCAACGTGAGTTAGTGTTTGACCCTGACTTTTGTTGATAGTCATGGCATATGCGAGCATCAACGTGAATTGTTTTCGTTAGAACTTGAATGGCAATCTCGTATCAGAAGGGCGAAAGATATTTTAATTGAAGATTTTACTTTTATTAATAGTATAAATATAGATTGGTGTAAATAATAATTAATAAATTATTATTTCCTTATAAAATTACATAGAATTTCAAATGGATTTTCTCATTTATTACGCATAATTTGTTTCCATTATTCTCACAATTATAATGGGTTTAATAATTCTCAGTATTTGATAACCATCATCCATTTTTAAGTACACATTGACTTCAATGTGTGATAAAAATTCATTAGATATTAGTTAATTTTCATATAAAATATTGTTACCAATTAAGCTTTATTAATTTTTTTTACCAATTAATTAATATTCATATTCATTTGGACGGGAATGTTGAAGATGAGAATTTTACTTTTATTAATAGTATAAATTGGTGTAAATAATAATTAATAAATTATTATTTGTTTATAAAATTACGCAGAATTTCAAACGAATTTTCCCATTTGTTAGGCAGAATTTGTATCCATTATTTTTATAATTATAATAATTTAATTATTCTCATAATTTGGTAACCATTTTTCATTTTTATATACATGTTGACTTTAATCTGTGGTAACAATTCATTAGATATTAGTTAATTTTCATATAAAATTTTGTTACCAATTAAGCTTTATTATTTTTTACTAATTAATTAATATTCATATTAATTTGGGTTGGGATGTTGTAAATGAGGATTTTACTTTTTATTAAAGTCATTTCACTAAGAACTTGGAGGGTGTGGTTGAGTGGAAGGGACGCATCCATCCTTATTAACCAAAGGCAAGGATTTGATCATTGCCTTTGGAAATGGAGCAACTATAAATCTCCAATCTAGCCCTTTCACCCAAAAGAGGGGCATTAGTCACTTTATCTAATCATGTTATATTAATTTCATTTTGAAATCATTGGTTCACATATTTGATTTATTTATTTTTTCTTTAATTATTCTCGTTGTAAACATAAATGATATTGCAATAATTAATTTATAATATTTATCAAATTCTATTTTTTTTAAATATAAAATTTTCTCATGTTTAGGGATTAAAAATATTTTGAAATTATTTTTTATTAGTAAGTATTTTTATTTCTAAAATATTTTCCAGCAACCCAAACACTCCCTTAGTCTCTAATAAAAAAACTGAAAAATAAAAATTATTTCATTAAGAAAATTAAAACTAATTAAAGTAAATCTAATCATGCTATATTTATTTGTAACTGTATATTAATTTCATTTTGAAATCATTGGTTCACATCTTTGAATTATTTATTTTTTTCTTTAACTATTATAAACAAAAATTATAATATTTATCAAATTGTATATATATATATATATATATATATATATATATATATATATATATAACATTTACACATGTTATGAGGGATTACAAAATATTTTAAATTATTTTTTATTAGTATGTATTTTTATTTTAAAATATTTTCCAGCAATCCAAACACTCCCTTAGGCTCCCATAAAAAAAACTAATAAAGAAAAGTCATTTTATTAAGAAAATTAAAACTAATTAAAATAAATCTAATCATGCTATATTTATTTGCAATTGTATATTAATTTCATTTTGAGATCATTGGTTCACATTTTTGAATTATTTATTTTTTTCTTTAACTATTATAAACAAAATTTTGATATTTACCAAAATGTATTTTTAAAAATATATAACATTTACACATGTTATGAGGGGTTAAAAAATATTTTAAATTATTTTTTATTTGTATGTATTTTTTTAAAAAATATTTTTCAGCAATCCAAACACTCCCTTAGCCTCAAAAAAAAAAAAAAAAAAAAAAAACTAACAAAGAAAAGTCATTTCATTAAGGAAATTAAAACTAATTAAAGTAAATCTAATCATGCTATATTTATTTGTAACTGTATATTAATTTCATTTTGAAATCATTGGTTTACATATTTGAATTTGTTTTTAATTATTATAATTTATAAACAGAAATGATATTGTACTAATTAATTTATGATATTTATCAAATTGTATTGTTTAAAAAATATAAGATTTACAAATGGTATGAGGGGTTAAAAAATATTTTAAAATTATTTTTTATTAGTAAATATTTAAAAAAAAAAAATTCCACCAACTCAAACACTCCATTAGCCTCCCATAAACAACTGATAAAGAAAAGTCATATAATTAAGAAAATTAAAACTAATTAAAGTAAATGTAATCATGCTATATTTATTTGTAACTATATATTAATTTCATTTTGAAATTATTGGTTCACATATTTGAATTATTTATTTTTTTTCTTTAATTATTATAAACATAAATGATATTGTATTAATTAATTTATGATATTTATCAAATTGTATTTTTTAAAATATAGTATTTTACTCGAGATTTTTTTTTTTTTGTTATTATGAATTTAAAATTAATTTAGAAAAATAAAAAGATATTAAAATATACAATATAATAATATAGTTGGACTTTTATATATTTGGTCAAGTATCTATTTTCATAACATACAAAATTAAAATAAAAATATTGTATGGTTAGTATAATCTCTAATCATGTACATATTTAGATAAGTTTATAGAAAAAATTTATAAAATTAAATTGATTTATTCCAAATTGTATTTCATATATATTATAATTTCAAAAATATGAATAATAATAACTAAGAAAATTGTAATTAGAAATCAATAAAAATGTAAATTCTAAATTTTGTATGAATAAATATAAACTCTAATCGGACGCATATCCTTATATGATTGAATAATACATTGTATATACACATAATATTTATTAATATGTATATATA